TATAGAAACAGTCTTTCGGAATGATTAAGGTGTGGCTCTTAAGTCAAAGAGCTCCTGTTTAAGTCTTGGTTCTGCCACTGATAGGCTACGACACTAGTCAGTGTGTTTCAATCTCTTTATCTGTATAATGGGTATGATGGCACTACTTCTACTTACTTCACAGGGTTGTCTGGATGGTTAGATGAGACGGTTTTCATAAAACATCTGGTAGATTCTGAGTCATAATCAAGAGCAGATGTTATTGTCAACGGGCTGGCTAAGTCCAAAACCCACGTTATTAGCCACTCTGTAAAAACCAGGATTTCCCGCGACCCTTACTCTGTTAGGGTTCCTGTCAGTGTCCCTGACGGCCTAGGTCAGACCAAAGCCAGTGATTTTGTGTTTGTTTGGGTTTTTGTCTTCATCGCAGCCCTGGATCTGGCAGCAGCACTTACCATTGCTGACCACCGCTCCTTGCAATACCTTCTCTAGGCTCTGGGAAATCACATTTTCCTGGTTTTCTTCCATCTGTTCCTTTGCTACGTTCTCCTCCTTCCCTAGACTCCTAAAATTAGGCGATCCCAACGTCCTATTCTCATGCCCTTCTCTTTCCCATCAATACTGTTTTCTTACATCAGGTGTCTGGTCCTACAACTTCCAGTGGTGAACTCACGACTCTCAAATTTCTTTCCCAGCCTTGAACTTGCTGCCTCTGAGCTTCAGATGTCCTCATGTAGAAACATGAATGACTCAAAGGTTTTTCAAATGCAGCACATCCCAGACAGAATGACTGGCTTCTTCTCGATACATATTGCTCTCTTCTTTCCAAAGCTTGTTCATAAATAGCACCACCAGTTACTCAGGCCAAAAACCTAGGTGTTGTCTCCTATTTCACACCCCATTTCAATTTCATAAATAAGTTATTTCTGCTCTTTACTCTTTTTTCTTTTTTTTAGACAGGCTCTCAGTCTATTGCCTAGGCTGGAGTGCAATGGCGTTATCATAGCTCACTGCAGCCTTGAACTCCCAGGCTCAAGTGATCCTCCTGAGTAGCTGGGACTACAGGTGTATGTCATATCTTGCCTGCCTAATTATTTTATATTTTTGCAGAGATAGGGTCTCACCTTGTTGCTCACGCTGCTCTCAAACTCCTGGGCTCAAGCAATCCTCCACCTAGGCCTCCCAAAGTGCTGGGATTTATAGGCAAGAGCCACCACACCCAGCTTGTACAACATGTATTGACTCTAAAACATGTATTGCCTGTAACATTTTTCACCATGCTCGCTGCTACAAGCCTAGTCCAAGTCACTGTCCCCTACTGCCTGAGTGACTGTACCAGTCTACTCCTAACCCAGCTACACCTACTTGTATTTAAATACAATTTTGTTTGTTTCCAAAAAGTGTACTGGATTTTAACCCTAAGTTTCTTTAAGGGCTCAAGAACTCTTGAATCAATAGAATCAAGCTGCCACTTTATTTTTCTATATTGAGAATGTAACCAGTCACAAATGAGGTGACTTTGTCACATCTTTTTCAAACTGGAGGAGAATATGAGGTCAGCTACAATTCCATCTACCTCCTCTTCACTCTGCCTTAACTGCCTGACCTTAATGAACCAAGTTACATGTTGAGCTTTCCTAGACTTGTGGGCATTTGGCTGGTCATAAACGATGAATCATCATAGGCCATGATAGAGGCTCTGACCCAGGAAAAAAAATGAGTAAATTGGACTTAAACAAAACCTAAACCAAGACAAAGAAATGGACCCAAGTGGAAGCTAAGCCAGTGAAATGCCAGGTCCATTGAGGTATGACAAACTCAATTCTTTCTTTCTTACTTCTTTTTTTTTTTAAGACAGAGTCTTGCTGTGTCACCCAGGCTGGAGTGCAGTGGTGCAATCTCAACTTATTGCAACCTCTGCCTCCCACGTTCAAGCAACTCTTCTTCCTCAGCCTCCAAAGTAGCTGGGACTACATGCACATGCCATCATACTCGGCTAATTTTTCTATTTTTTAGTAGAGACGGGGTTTCACTATGTTGGTCAGGCTGGTCTTGAAGTCCTGGCCTCAAGTGATCCGGCTGCCTCAGCCTCCCTAAGTGCTGGGATTACAGGCATGCACCCAGCCGACAATCAATTCTAAACTAGGAAAATACGAAGAACCAGGGGTCCAATCAGAAAGGCTGGGAGTACAATGATTCTGGGTGTTCAGTGGGTAGTGATTCTGTGTTAATGCTCATTCGACAGGTATGTTAAGGATTTACTATGGTTCTTTTGAAATGAAACTGTGAACCCAAAATATCTGAGACAAGTCTCAACCAATTTAGAAAGTTTACTTTGCCAAAGTCAAGGACACGTCGTGACACAGCCTCAGCAGGTCCTGATGACATTTGTCCAAGTGGTTGGGGTACACTTTGCCAGTATACTTTATAGGGAGACTTGAGACATCAATAAATTATGTGTGAGATATGTATTAGTTCAGCGTAGTAAGGTGAGAGAACTCGAATTGGGGGCTTCCAGGTGACAGGCAGCTAAGGGACAAAAGGTTGCATTCTTTTGAGTCCTTGATCAGCCTTTCACTGAATATACACCATTTAGTCTGACTCAGTGAATCTGTATTTTTACATAAACAACAAGACAGAGCAATCAGACATGCACTTGTCTCAGGAAAGCAGAGGGATGACTTTCTGTCCTGCTCCGGTGAAGATAAGCTATTAGTTTACATTGCCAGGATGAAATCCAACAGAACTGTTTTAGGGTAAAGATATTAAGGGACCCAGGGAATTTCCTTGTGGGAAAATTGGGGGGGAGGTATGTATCTCTATCCTTTTAATTATCTTATTTAGGAATTAAAATGGGAGTCAAGTTTGCCTGATGTAGTTTTCACCTTGACTTTTCCCTTGGCTTAGTGATTGGGGGTTCCTGAGATTTGTTTCCTTTCAAAAACTGTTTTCATCTCTGTAGTTGAAACAAGACCATGCATACTGCAGAATGAAGCCACATCAGGCTAAAGAAGACTGAGTCTCAAACCACATCAAAGGTCTCATTTGAGGCCCAGATCTCTAGTTGGTCTGCGAGTTATTTTTTAATGCATTTCATAAAAACATAGCCAGACCAACGCAATGACTGTTACAAAAGCTAACTGGTTTAAATCCCTTTACTTTTGTCTGTAATTGCATCAACTCAGCTACATATCATCCATCACATTCGGCTCCCTTACTCTAAGATTAACAAAAATAAAAGAGAAATATTTATTTGTTAAAGTATAGTCTTCAAAAATGTTTACTCACAATTTATGCAAATATAAAAGTAAACACTTGTCAACAATTTTTTTTTTCTATACATTAATTGCTGAGGGCACCAGTAAGATCCCCTTCAAATTCCATGTTGAAATTCGACTCCCAGTGTTGAAGGTGGTGCCTGATGGGTGGTGTTTTGGTCCTGGGGTCCTCACTCTCTTAGCTCCCTCAAAAGCTGATTGCTGAAAAGAGCCTGGCACATCTTCCCCTGTCTCTCTTTCTTCCTTTCTCTCACCATGTGATGCCAGCCCCGCTCTGTCTCCTGCCTTGATTGGATACTTCCTGGAGTCCTCACCGGGAGCACACACTGGCACCATGCTTCCGGTGCTGCCTGCAGAACTGTGGGTCAAATAAACCTCTTTTCTCTATAAACTACCCAGCCTCAGGAATCCTTTTATTGAGGCACAAATGGACTAAGACACCAAACAAATAACCAGAGTTAACTTTCCCTCATCAATCTGTTCAATCCTACATAATTAACTCTCATTCTGCTGGGTTTGGGGGAGCCGTCTGATTTCATGACATAGACTAAAAACCATTGTTGAAATGCTGGCTCTGTCTGCTGAAGCAATTTGAAAATTGTTTAAGCTCTGTCAGCTCAGAAGCCTCTACCCAAGAGTTTACTCTTTTTTTTTTTTGAGACAGAGTGTTACTTTTTCACCCAGGCTGGAGTGCACTGGTACGATCTCGACTCACTGCAGCCTCTGCCTCCTGAGATTAAGTGATTCTCCTGCCTCAGCCTCCTAAGAACCTGTGATTGCAGGCAAGTGGCACCAGCCTGCCCAGCTAATGTTTTTATTTTTTGTAGAGATGGGGTTTCACCGTGTTGGCTAGGCTGATCTTGAACAGCTGATCCGCCCACCTTGGCCGCCCAAAGTGCTGGAATTACAGGCACTACACCTGGCCCCAAGAGTTTACTCTTAGACATAGCAGTAATTTAGCGTAGTTGGTACTGATGGGAGTACAGGAAACATTACCCTAAAATATGGCACTTTGGTGTACTGAGTGTTGTATGCTAAAGGAAAGATCACTCTGACCTTCTCCCACCTTTCTTCCCTGAAGCCATAAAAGAATTCTCTGACCTATGTGCCCTGAAAGTAAGTCCTAAGAACTTTATTCCTGAGGAGTCCTACTCTATACTCAGGAAGGCTGGGATATCATAAGGTGACACATAAAAGAATCTGAACAAACAGGCCTTGCTAAGTTCCCTCTCCCCGCCACCAAGCTTGTTTGTTACCATTAAATCATATACCTTGTTGTCTAATCATGTTTCTCCATAGTTATCTGCGTCTTTCATCATCCTTCATATAAAAAATACAGTTTTCATTGGGTCTATAGGTCCTTATTTCTGAAGGCTCCTGGGTCATGTAAGACATACTAAATAAATTTGTTATGCTTTTCTCTTATTAACCTGTCTTTTGTTATAGGTGTGCCTGCCATGAACATAAGATAGGTGAGAAAATTGAATTAGGGGATTTTGCAGTTGTAGTATAAAGAATGTTTTATGCCTTCATTTTGGTGGTGGTTACTACAACTTCAAAATCCCCTAATTCAGCAGTCCCCAACCTCTTTGGCACCAGGAACTAGTCTGTGGAAGACAATTTTTCCAGAAACCAGGAGTTGAGGGATGGGTTCAAGATGATTCAGTTCCATTACACTTATTGTGCACTGTATTTCTATTATTATTACATGGTAACATATAATGAAATAATTACACAACTCACCACCATGTAGAATCAGCGGGAGCCCTGAGCTGGTTTTCTTTCAACTAGATGGTCCCATCTGGGGATGATGGCAGACAGTGACAGATCTGAAGGCATTAGATTCTCATAAGGAGCTGGCAACCTAGATCCCAAGCATGCTCAGTTCACAATAGGGTTCATGGTTCTTTGAGAATCTAATGCCGCCGCTGATATGACAGGAGGCGGAGCTCAGGCAGGAATGTGAGTGATGAGGTGCAGCTGTAAAAAAAGATGAACCTTCACTCCTTGCTTGCCGTTCACCTCCTGCTGTGCAGCTGGCCCAGTTCCTAATAGGCCATGGGCCAATACCAGTCCATAGCCTTAGGGTTGGGGACCCCTCCCCTAATTCCCTTTTTTAAATCAACCCTTCACCCCATTCCCAGCCCTTTCAATTACTGATCTGTTTTCTGTCCTGTATTGGTCTGTTCTTGTGTTACTATAAAGGAATACCTGAGACTGGGTAATTTATAAAGTAAGGAGGGTTATTTGACTTACAGTTCTGCAGTCTGTACAGAAAGCACGGTGCTGGCATCTGCTTCTGGTGGGGGCCTCAGGAAGCTACAATTAAGGCAGAAGAGAAGGGGAATTGCTGTACCACTTGGCAAGAGAGGGAACAAGAGAGAGAGGGGAAGTGCCACTAAAAAACCAGATCACACAAGAACGCACTCACTATCATGAGGACAGCACCAAGACATTCATGAGGGATCCACCCCCGTGACCCAAACCCCTCTCACCAGGTCCCACCTCCAACATTGGAGATTACATTTCATCATAAGATGTGGAGGGGATACACATCCAAACTATATCATTCTGCCCCTGGCCCCTCACATCTCATGTTCTTCTTTTATCAAAAAATAAAATCATCCCTTCTCTATAGTTCCCCAAAGTCTCAACTTGTCCCAGCCCCAACTCAAAGGTCTCAAGTCCAAAGTCTCATCATCAGAGGCTCAAGGCAAGTTCCTTCCCCTTGTGAGCCTGTATTTACTCCTAAGTTATAATTAGCTATTTACACCTAAGATACAAATAGCAGTGCAGGCATTGAAAAAAACATTACCATTCCAAAAGAAACTTGCCAAAAGGAAAGGGGTAATAAGCCCCACGCAAATCTGAAACCCAGGAGGGCAGTTGTTAAATCTTAAAGCTCCAAAATAATCTTCTTTGACTCCATGTCTTACATCCAGGGCAGTGATGCGAGGAGTAGGCTCCCAAGGCCTTGGGCAGCTCTGCTCCTGTGGCTTTGCAGAATATGGCCGCTGTGGTTGCTCTCGTGGGTTGAAGCTGAGTGCCTGCAGCTTTTCTAGTTGCAAGGTGCAAGCTGCTGGTGGGTATACTATTCTGGGTCTGAAGGCAGCAGTTCCCATCACACAGCTCCACTAGGCAATGCCCCAGCAGAATTCTCCATGGAGCTCCAACAACGCAGTTTCCCTTGGCACTGCCCTAATAGAGGTTCTTTATGAGAACTTTGCCTCTGCATTAGGCTTCTGCCCCAGCACCTAGTCTTTTCCATAAACCTGAAATCTAGGTGGAAGCTGCCAAGCCTCCTTCACTCTTGCATTTTATGTGCCCATAGGTCACATGGAAGCCACCAAGGCATACGGTTTATGCTCTCTGGAGCAGCAGCCTGAGCTGTACCTGGAACCCTTTGAGCTGCAGCTATAGCTGGAGCAGCTAAGATGCTGGAGCAATGTCCTGAGGTTGAGCAGGGAAGCAGCATCCCTGAGGCCTGGCCCCTCCAAGATTTCTGAAATGCCTTGGGGCCTCTTCCCCATTGTATATTAGTACTTGGCTCCTTTTTAGTAATGCAAATCTCTCTACCAGATGGTTACTCCATAGCCTGCTTGGATTCTTTCTTTACCACATGGCCAAGCTGTAACTTTTTCAAACTTTTATGCTCCACTTCCCCTTTAAATATAAGTTCCAACTTTAAGTCATTTCTTTGCTCCCATATCTGATCATAGGCTGTTATAAGAAGCCAGGTCACCTGCTGAATGCACTGATGTTCAGAAATATCCTCTGCCAGATACCTTTTAGGTCATCACTCTGAAATTGAAACTTCCACAGACCCGTAGAATATGAACTCTGAGAAATTACTGCCTCACTCAAGATGACAAAATTATTCTACGCTTTCTTCTAGAAGTTTTGTAGTTTGGTCTTTACCTTTAGTTTTATAATCTATTTTTGTATACGGTAGAAGGGTTGAATTATGATTCATTCTTTTCTGTGTGGATATCCCACTGTTCTAGCATTTACTGGAAGTACTATAATTCATTCTTGTCCTTGCATCTTTCTTCAAAATCAGCCGGTCATACACGTAAGTCTATACCTGGACCTGCTGTTCTGTTCCACTGATGTACGTGTCTATTTTTTTGCCAATACCACACTATTTTGACTAGTGTAGACTTATAAGGTGTTGAAATTAGGCAGGCCAAGTCCTCCTACTTGATTTCTTTTATGAGTAAATGTTTTAACTCTTCTATATTTATTTCATTTATCTATATCAATTTTAGAATAAATTGTGACAATTTCTACCCAAAAAACTCATGGGGATTTGATTGGCATTACATTGAATTTATAGATCAGTTTGGGATACATGTCGAGTCCTCCAACTCACAAATATGTCTCCATTTATTTAGAACTTATTTTATTTTACTGATCATTTTTGTGTAGTTGTTGGCATACAGTTAGAATACATATAGAAGAGTAAATGTTTTAACTCCTCTATATTTATTTCCTTTTTCTACATCAATTTTAGAATCAGTGTGACAATTTCCACAAAAAACCCACTGGAATTTGATTGGCATTACATTGAATTTATAAATCAGTTTCAGAAAAATTAGCATCTTGACATATTGAGTCTTCCAACTCATGAATATATCTCCATTTATTTAGAGGTTATTTTATTTTACTGATCATTTTTGTGTAGTTGTCAGCATTCAGATGTTGCAAATAATTTGGTAGATTTATACCTAAATAGGTATGGTTTTGGTGCCATTGTCAATAGTATTGCATTTTTAGGTTTTCATTTCCAAATGTTCCTTGCTAATATATATATGCATGTATATATATATAACGTTATGTATTGCATTATTTCTAAACTTACGTATTGCTTCTAGCACTCCCTTTGTATATTCTTTGGGATCTTCCAGGTAGACAGCCACATCATCTGAGAGTAGGGACGCATTTCTTTCTAATCCACGTCTTTTATTTCTTTTTGCTGCGTTCTGCCTCGCTGGGCTGACCTGGACATCCACGATAACGTTGAATGGGAATGGCAGAACATCCACCACAAAACTAATCATAACTTTTAGCCAGAATAAACCTCTTCTTTTTCACAGAGAAAACTGGAAAGAAAGTAGTTAAAAACTCACTGTCATGCAAAAACATTGAAGTAGACTCTCAAAATTCATGAATACATATAACAGAATTTTCTTTTTTCTAAATGTCATTTTACTTTAAGTCCTGGGATACATGTGCAGAATGTGCAGGTTTGCTACATAGGTATACACACGCCATGGTGGCTTGCTGCACCCATCAACCATCATCTAGGTTTTAAGCCCTGCATATTTGTCCTAATGCTCTCCCTCCTCTTACCCCCACTCCCCAACAGGCCCTGGTGTATGATGTTCCCCTCCCTGTGTCCATGTGTTCTCATGGTTCAGCTCCCACTTATGAGTGAAAACACGCATTGTTTGGTTTTCTGTTCCTGTGTTAGTTTGCTGAGAATGATGGTTTCCAGCTTCATCCATGTCCCTGCAAAGGACAGGAACTCATTATTGTTTATAGCTGCATAGTATTCCGTAATGTATATGTGCCACAGTTTCTTTATCCAGTCTATCCTTGATGGGCATTTGGGTTGGTTCCAAGCCTTTGCTATTATAAATAGTGCTGTTATAAACATACGTGTGCATGTGTCTTTATAGTAGAATGATTCATAATCCTTTGGATATATACCCCGTAATGGGATTACTGGGTCAAATGGTATTTCTGGTTCTTTGAGGAATGGCCACACTGTCTTCCACAATGGTTGAACTAATTTACACTCCCACCAACAGCATAAAAGCATTCGTATTTCTCCACGGCCTCCCTAGCGTCATATAACAGAATTTTCTTCACCACCACACTTTTTTTCACCTTCTTACGTAGTAAAATGAACAAGTTTCCTTAACAGTAACAGGTTCCAAAACATACAGCCACTCTCTCTGTAGCATATAAAAATAATAAGTCAAGTCAATTATTCATTCTTTTTCAGAAATTAATTAACTCAATTTAATATGAATTCAAGGTTTCAAATTACCTGAGGATGTTGGAAATTACCTACTAACAGAGCTAACATACTACAAGGCACACATATTGCTAGAAAACATTTTTCAGAATTATTCATGTTACCTGAAATTTACATTTTTTATAATCTCAAATGCTATGTAGGAATGTTAGTTTATTTGAACCAATATGAAACTAATATGAAAAAGACAGGACATTTATGAGAAAAGAAACCAAAATATTCACACTAATAAACTCAAATGGAAAGACATATAGCTATTACTTACGTTTGAAACCAAAATTATTGAGCCAGTTTTTCCAAAGATTTACCTTAACTATGAACTTGCATTCTTATATTAATGTTTCTAAGCTAACATTTTTAGTAAGAAGGATTTTTTTAAACTTTGCACTTTAAAGTGGTCGTTTCCTTATTTTCTGTAAAATTGAGAAATAAGGGATTTATATAAGTATCAATTTTTGAAAACTCATCAGATCATTGCTCCTTTGAGATATTTAATAATATAACCTAGAGGTAATAAAACATATCATATTTGTACAATGAGATATCAAGGGGGTTGCTGAATCACAGACACGCAGCCCTCCAGACACAGAGAGCTCATAGCTTCAGTCTCAAGTTAAAAATAATCCCAGAAACATATTTTAAAAATCACTGGTTTAGATCTCAAAGGGCTGGCTTTCTAGGGAACAGGAAATTCTTGCTTTTGCATGTAATTGATTCATGATCACAAATAGACAAACATACAAACAATAAAAAAAGACTATCAAACCAGAATCTCTGTCTCATCCAGCAGAAAATAGACCTGTTATCCACCTATGGGAGATCACCAAACGGTCAGATTATAAAACCAGATCCCCAATTTTTACTAACGCTAGTTAGAATAACAAACCAAGAACAAAACAAAAATACAAAGTCTGTAGACATGAAAAAAAAAAAAAAAACAGAAAGAATCTGGAGAAACAGAGAGCTGGCAAACTTAGAGCACTTATTACTGATTGGGATTCTCTCTGGAAGCCCAGAAAAGACCTGCGCGGGCTTAAGCTGTCCATAAAATGCATTTCTTTCTTTCTTTTCAGTCTTTCACTCTTTCTTTCTTTCCTTTCCTTTCCTTCCTTCCCTTCCGTTCATTCCTTCGTTCGTTCCTTCCTTCTTTCTTTCCTTTCTTCTTACCTTTTTTCTTCCCTCCCTCCCTCCCTCTCTCTCTGTCTCTTTCTTTCTTTCACAGAGTATCACTCTGTTGCCAAGGCTGGAGTACAGTGGTGTGATCTTGGCTCACTGCAACCTCCACCTCCCGGGCTCAAGCAATTCTCCTGCCTCAGCCTCCTGAGTAGCTGGGACCACAGGCGCGTACTACCATGCCCAGCTAATTTTTGTATTTTTAGTAGAGATGGGGTTTCACCATGTTGGCCAGGATGGTCTCGATCTCTTGACTTCGTGATCCACCCGCCTTGGCCTCCGAGAGTGCTGGGATTACAGGTGTGAGCCACCGTGCCGGGCCTGAGCCACTTGGTGACTTTTTACAAGGGGAACATCCTTATATCCACCCCCCAGGCCAATAACTGGAACTTGGCCCCACTAGCTCAGAAATCCACTCCCTTTAAATCAGTTTCAGTGGAGCAGAGTGGAAAATATCAGCAGGCATCAGATGGAGCCAACAACAGTTGTATTCTGCCGTTTTTCTTCCGTATTAACTTTTATGTTAATGTGTGTCTGTGTGTGTATTTGTGCATATGTTACTGAGTCACAATTTCTCACTGTTGGTCACAATCAAACAAGTGTAACAGGCCAGGTGCAGTGGCTCAGGCCTACAATCCCAGCACTTTGGGGGGCCAAGGCAGGTGGATCATGAGGTTAAGAGTTCGAAACCAGCCTGGTCAACATGGTGAAACCAGTCTCTACTAAAATTACAAAAATTAGTCAGGTGTTGTGGCATGCACCTGTAGTCCCAGCTACTTGGGAGGCTGAGATGGGAGAATAGCTTGAACCTGGTCGGCAGAGGTTGCAGAGAGCTGAGATCCTGCCACTGCACTCCAGCCTGGTCGACAGAGCAAGACTCCATCTCAAAAAAAAAAAAAAAAAGAAAGTTAAATACCCACTGCATCATACTGAATTGTTGGGGAGGGGAAATGGGAGAAAACGCCATGATATTGTTTATTCCCTAAAAACAAGGGCAGACTCGGGCTCAGTGTCACGTGTTTCACACTTTGTAATGACTACAGCAGCTTCCTTTCTCACCTTTCAGAACATTTTAGAAACATAAAATATTTTTAAAGAAGATGAAATATCTGTCCACATCACGGAAAAAAATGAATATGGAATATTATAAAGAAAGCAATTAATCTACACTTAAAACTAATTGCCTAACCCAGTGGGTCTTTAAATTATTCATTAGTGCTATTTAAAATAATTGCAGTTTATGAGGAGAACCCATTATGAATTTCTTTTAAGAACTAAAAAGAAAGGGTTTCCATTTTTATTATTTACCAACTGCTTACAGCTCTTGAAACCAGACCCATTTTTAGACCAGCTTAATACGTTCATTTCCCCCCACCCCAAATGAATCACGTTTAACATTTATGATAAGAACATTACATGAGGTTCTCTGTCATGGATTCTGAACTCACAGAGAGGAGAAAAGTATTGTCCTAAAAGAACATAAGCAGCGACTCAGGAGGCTGAGACAGGAGGATCACCTGAACCCAGGAGGTCAAGGCTGCAGTGAGCTCCAATCATGCCACTGCACTCCAACCTGGACGACAAAGAAAGATTCTGTATCAAAAAAAAAAAAATATGATCTCCATTTCCGGCTGAGTAACCTGGGATTGCCTCATGAGTTTTGCTCAAATTACTCAAGACTTCTGAATTCTCTCCCTACTGCCTTCATTTACTCTATGCCACCAAAAAACAAAACTGAAAAAAATAAAAAATAAAAGGCACATCGACAAGTTCACGTGAAACGTAACAGAAGGGTTCACAGCCAAATGTATCAGAACCAAAGCCCATGTCATTTTATTTTATTTTTTGTTTACTTTTAGAAATGGAGTCTTGCTCTGTTGCCCAAGCTGGAGTGCAGGAGTGCAATCATACCTCACTGCAGCCTGGAACTCCTGGGCCCAAGTGGTCCTCCTACCCCAGCCTCCTAAATAGTTGGGAATGTAGGTATGCACCACCATGCCTGGCAAATTTTCAAATCTTTGTAGAGTGGGGATCTTGCTGAGTTGTCCAGGCTTAGTCTTCAACTCATGGGCTCAGGCAATTCTGCCGCCCTGGCCTTCCAAAGTGCTGGGAATACAAGTATGTACCAACATGCTGGGTTAATGTAAAGCTTGTGTCGTGTTCTTGGTTTCTATACTTTTTTTTTTTTTTTTTTTTTGTAGACAGAGTCTCACTCTGTCACTCAGGCTAGAGTGCAGGGCCCCGATCTCAGCTCACTGCAACCTCTACTTCCTGGGTTCAGGTGATTCCCTGCCTCAGCCTCCCAAGCAGCTGGGACTACAGGCACCATGCAGGACTAACTTTTGCATTTTTAGTAGAGACAAGGTTTCGCCATGTTGGCCAGGCTGGTCTCAAACTCCTGACCTCAAGATATCCACCCGCCTTGGCCTCCCAAAATGCTGGGATTATAGGCGTGAGCCAGTGTGCCCAGCCACTTTCTCTACTTCTTTGGTTCCTTCAAAAAATGCTCAGAATTGTAGCCGTGAAATGGTGGAACCTAAAAAAATCTTCTGTCTAGTTTATGGTTTTCTAATTTAGTGGTTTTCAAACTGTGTCCACAGGCACGCAGGAGCTCCCCAGTGTGACTGAAATGCCAAGTTGGCAGGTGTGGGGTCCTCAATGCCTATCCCCAAGTCTCCATCACCACAGTCTACTTTTAGTCTATTTTTTCTTTTTTTTTTTTTTGAGATAGAGTCTCACTCTGTTGTCAGGCTGCAGTGCAGTGGCATGATCTCAGCTTACTGCAACCTCCACCTCCCAGGTTCAAGCAATTCTCCTGCCTCAGCCTCCCAAGTAGCTGGGACTACAGACACCTGCCACCATGCTAGACTAATTTTTGTATTTTTA